ATCATGGATGAACTCGTATATCTTTTGCAATAAGCACTTATTCGATTAACCACCAGTCTAAACACAGGTTAGCACAAAAGGTCCAAGAAGGTCGGTTGACTATGCAAGCCATCATTTCACCATGTGTCCCGCTGAGTGTCAAATGCTAATGAGGTACCTGACGTCAGCACAAGATGATGGGTCATTTATACTCGGGACCAAACTAATATTATTGTCAGACTAGTAATACACTCAAAAAATTTATACAGAAAGCTTTGCTATTTGATACATCATGAGTTCTCACCGGGGTATACATTATTGAAGAAAAAACAATTTGACTATATTATACATCCTACACCTATTCAGTACACGCTTAAAAGGCAGTATAAAAAAAGTGAAATAGATCAGACATCTTCCAATTTCACTATTTGATGAGCATCTGGATACTTCGGTAAACGCAAACTGTGTTCTTCCGCCAGTCGTTTTGGCACAAATCGACCACCAACCTACAAAATTGAACACTAAATTGAGCATATGAAAAAAAACTGCAAACTCACAAAATGAGGTCCTGTCCATTCTTTCACACACAGTTTGGGAGCTGTAAGGGAAATGATGCCATGTGGATGTACATATGAACCTTCTGAAGGTGCACCGTTCTCAACGTCCCAACCTGAAGCAAAAGAAATGTGTACAAATCAACGAATTAACCATACTCTTTCAGAAAGGACCACAAATGTGCGAAACAAAAAAATCAGTTGATTTATTTAAATTCATCAACTTATTATCGACTACTTCTCAATTTTATACTGCCGCTTTCTCTTAATCTATGCTTTCGAGCATCCCTTTTTTTTTTATTTTATCTGAGTAAAAAGAAAAATTCTACCAATGGTTACAGCTTTTGGCACTGCAAAATATTCATTGTCATCTTGATCTGTATGCATGGGAACTAAAGCTTGGCAAATTTATAACTTTCAGTTTTTTCCCTAGTCATCCCTTCGACGCTTAAGATACGCATTTTTTTGGGTTTCTTTT